ATAGAGACAGGTAGAAGTCCAATGCATTTGTTGGTTGGACAGTTATCATTTACACTGAGATAATGGGAAGTGGTCTACTGCCCTTTGCTTCTGTTTGTTGCTGATATCATCATGAAGGCTTTAATTTGTGAATAATTATTATTGAACAACAGTCTGCCTTTGAAATCTGTATTGACAGGGCTGCTTCATAGTATGCATTTCTGATTCCCTATAAAATTGTTTACTTGTTAGAGATTTAGAAAGCAAATATACTAATTCCGAAATTGAACTTCATTACTATATTGCATTTCTAGCACTTTTCTGTTACAGTTGTTCTAAGGGTACTGCTTTATTTACATCTTCGTTACTTGCATATGCTTTTTATGTTATGAGTGCAACGTTTTTCTTTGATTTTCATGCCATTCTCAAATTAGGAGGCCTGCTAAAATGCCTTTATGATTACGTTATATATTTTTCCCGTAGGAATCATGGACGACGTGCAGTGTTTGTAAAATTAGGCTGATAATTTAACCTTATGATATCTATAAAACAGTGATTTAATTGAAAAATATATATATAGAGGGGTATTATTATAATTATTTTTAGATATATAAGGCAAAATTATATTTTTTTCGGGTCGGGTATTTTTCATCCTAAACCCGAATCCGACTCGACCCTAACATCATCTTTAAAAAACCTGACACGACTCGAACCCGATTTTTTTTTTAAAAAACCCAACCCGGTCGGGTCAGGTCAGAACCCATCGAGTTCGGATCTCATGTCCATCCCTAATTAGACCTGCATCGTGTTTATATCTTTTATCATTTTTACTTTTTAAAAAGAATAAAAATATTACCGTGCCGCTGAACCCTAAATATATAAACCCTTACATCTTTAATCTTAAATTTAAAATATTATATAAATGAGAGAATTTCCCAACAATCCTAGTTACGACGAAAGGGTTGTAGACGTGCATTCACATGAGAACTCATGGGGATTTAGGGGGTGGGATTTATATGATTTCATGGTGATTGAACACGGGGGAGACGACGTTCAGAAGGGGGTGGGGGTCGGGGTGATAGAATTATTTTAGTAAAAAAAATTTATCGGACATTACTACATAGACACCTAAAAAATTATGGTCAAAAATATTATTTTGACACATAAAATTAATTTTAAGTATATTTTTTATCACTAATATTTTTATTAAATCTGTCGTATGCATTTCAATAATTATGCAGATGCATATATGGAATATTTTTAAGTTTTACCAGATGTTATCTTTGTTGATATGAATTTGTCAATTAATTTTAATAGAGTTTTACAATTTTAATTTATATTATACAATTTATAATATTATTTAAGGAACTTAAATAATTTATTGTAAAATTAATATTTTTTGAAAAAATAAAAATAGAACTTTAATCAAGTTAAATCATTATTTTTTAAGGCAATGCAAACTCAATTAAATATCAATCTAAATAATGTTCAATGTATCTCCAAGTTTATTCACCCAAAAGAAAATCAATCCAATTCCAAAGAGACAGCAGTATGATGCATGAAATGCATACTCAATCACCAGCCACAAATTATAAAGAATAGACCTGTGGTATTTAAGTTCCAAAACACTGAGGAAGTATCGAATCAAAACCAACTACGAACGAAGCGACTAGTTTCAAACTCAACGGAAACCACACAACAATGGTGTTTAAGGAGAAAAATCCAGCAGGTTGTCAAAATCAGGAGACAAGGTTGTCACTTAAAGACAATGAAGCCAATTGATCAGTAGCATTGCCAGCACCAGTCTGCTGCTGCTGAGCAACGGTCCTAAGAACCTCCATTGCTTCAGAAACCTTGGCTTTAAGAGCTTCTGGTGACTCGAGCAAGTGAAGAACCTCGGTCTGATCCATCTCCAGAAGAATCCCTGTTACTTTTGTTGGAAATATAGACTGCAAAATGAGATGTTATCACTGACAGGACAATATAAAAAATATTAAAAAATGAACAACTGAAACCATGTCGTGGTGAAAACCACTGTCTTAGAAACAAATTCGTCCCGATGTGTGCAATCGCTGCTTCAGGCGGATTGCCCCCCGAGGTTAACACGATCGCTCCAAATTCTGTACACCCGAAATCGGAGTGGACTGCCTGTGGTACTGCTATTCTTATAGCAACTGAGAAAAGAGATTTAGAACTCTTTAAATTTGAGAGTGTTGAGTGAAAAATGAGTGAGTTGAGAAGGTTATGAAGCTCTTCCATCCATAGCAAAATCATATATAAATCTGATTAATTTCTTAATTTAATCTCTTGTTTGAAACTGTTGAAATAAATGAATGAACCTAGCCTCTAACCCATCCATATTCATGGCTTAATTTTCAGTTGTTTGTAACTCTTGTAATTACTCCTGTAACTCATGTAATTACACTTGTAACTGGCATAATAAGCAACTCATTATTCATTCTGAACAGAGCTGAAAAACCATCCAAGTACACTCAAATGTTTACAAATTAAAAATTCAGAAACTGACTATTTAAATTTTAATTTTTAGAAATTAGAACGGCAACTAATTAATCAGTTGTTACCCTCTGAAAATTTAGAATACTTAGCAGCCTATAAATATCAGAATGATATTCTTTCACAATCTTTTATGCTTGAGAAAAATCCTTACGAATTTTCTCCAAAAAGATAGTTCAACACGTATTGCCACGAGTCACAACCACGACCACGAGACAGACGGACGGCGACGGTGGCACGCGAGATTGCCCTTTGTTTTCTATCACTCAACAAAGGAAATAAGAATGAACATTATAAATACCCAAGCTTCTAGTATTTTCCACTCAATATGGGATATTGTTTTTAGCATTACCAACATTCCCCCACTAATACGAAAGAATTATTCTGAAACTCGAAATATAACCTTCTCAGAAGAGTAATAATGGAATTAGTTGCTTAAGCACTAGTGAACGTATCTTGAACTAGTACATAGTGATGATGAGAAATCATTCTCTTAGATAAGTGAAACTAGCCTTTAAATTTATAAGATAAGGGTAAACTTATAGCATACAACTAACCCCTTTATCCATCGAAGTCCTCGATGTGTAAGATATATTTACACGAGTGTATATTATGACATCTTACCTCATGATTCTAGTAAGTGCTCTAGAAAAACAACCCAACGTTTTTCATAGAAGGTGGTTAATCCTTTTCACTTATGTAAGTTATTTCATCATGTTTATCTCAACATAAATCACCTTTAAATTGGGCTATGAAATAATTAAGAGCCTTTTACTATGGCTCAACCTCTCAAAGGTTATGATGATTTTCTTAAAGTTCATTACAAATGAACCACTCATACTCTGGGATAAGAAATCATTAAGAATAAATATTAACCTCTTTAGTCGATGAATTCAATATGTCATTCTCACTAGGACCATCCAAACTTTAGATTTGAATTCAATAAGAGTTTTCCTTAAAAACTCAACCTTTTCTGGCGATAAGTTCATCTTGTCCTTCTCAATTAGGACTACCCACTCAACTCTGGGTTATGAACCTATTAAGAATATATATTCAATCAAATTCGGTAAATTCATCAAGTCTTTCTCACTAAAACCACCCTAACCTGGGCTATGAATTTATTAAGAGCAATCAAGCTCATCATGTGAATGTACATTGTTCGTCATAGGGATAGGTTGGTAAATGTACACTATGAGTCTTTCCATGGTTTCGTTTGATCTCATTGAAATTAGATAACTAAGTTGGTATCCACCATGAATTCCTCAACCAATGGGCTTTAAACTCATCCCCTCGTCAAATTTATGACCAATTTCCGGCTTAACTCTTTGGTAAGTAGTTTTGCTAGGTTCATTTCCTACTTCACATACTCTAAAGAGAGTACTCCATTCTTTATTAAGTGTCTAACAAATTCATGTCTTATGCGAATGTGTCTCTTCTTACCATTGTAAGCTTGGTTATTGGCCACACATATCACAGCTTGTGAATCACACAATAAGGAGATTAGAGGGTTTTCCCCCACAACAGAGTTTCAGCTAACAAATTTCTGAGCCACTCGGCTTCTTGCCCAGCTAAGTCAAGAGCTATAAACTCTGACTCCATAGTGGAACGAGCAATATAGGTTTTCTTCACAGACTTCCACGAGATCGCTGCTCCACCCAAAGTAAAAACATACCCACTCGTAGAGCTTACCTCATCATTATGATAAACCCATTTGGTGTCAAAATATCCTTCTAAAAATGCAGGATAGCTAACAAACTCAAGTTTCCAATCCATTGTACCCTTAAAATACTTGAGTAAGAGTCGAAGAGAAACTCAGTGTTCACCACTTGGAATATGAGTATATCTACTAAGTCTACTAACATCGTAGACAGTATCAGATCGAGTGTAGTTCATTAAGAACATCAATCTTCCAATTATTTTAGTATATTCAGTACGGAAAACGCTACTTCATTTATTTTTAAAGAGATGTATGCTAGGGTCATAAGGAGTTCGAATAGGGATAACATCAAAACTTTCAAACTTATTTAACACTTTCTCAATGTAATGTGTTTGATTTAAATAAAATCCCTTTTCAGTTTTGGTAGCTTTGACCCCTAAGATCACATCAACTTCTCCCAAATCGGTAATCTCAAATTTAGTAGATAAGAAATTCTTTGTTTTGTTAATGGACTCAATGTTCGTATTGAAAATCAACATGTCATCAACATATAAACTTATGATGATGCAATCAGTACCAAACATCCTCGAATACATGCATGCATCAGAACCATTCGCAACAAAACCAAAACTTAGAATAGTTTTGTGAAATTTATCATATCACTATTTAGAAGCTTGCTTCAGGCCATAAAGCGATTTTTTCAGTCTACACAATTTGCCTTCCATGCCAGGCACCTCGAAGCCAAGAGGTTGCTCCATGTTGATCTCCTCATCTAGATCTCTGGTCAGAAATGCAGTCTTTACATCCATTTGATGTACTTGCAACTTTTGAATGGAGGCTAGCACAAATAATGCTCAGATCGTTGATATTTTTGTCACGGGAGAGTAGGTATCGAAGAAGTCTAAACCAAAATTTTGAGTGAACCCTTTGACAACTAATCTTGCCTTGTATCGCTGGATCGAACCATCTGGTTTGAATTTCTTCCGAAAAACCAAGTAAACTAATTCCAATGTATGATTAGACATTATTAATTCTAGTTCATCATTGATATTGTTTTTCCAGAAATTAACATCAATAGATCTTATAGCATTTTTCTTCCCACTCCTCTTGTTATTAACAATAAAGCCTAGAGAGACAACAAACGAAACAAACTAAAATCCCAAGTGCTTCAATAAACCTTGCTAAAGAGCCAAACTTCTCTCTGTCTTTTGTAAAGATGTCTCTTTTTTTGGGTTTTTTTAATGGAGAGGAGGAGAGGAAAGGGAAGGAAGAAGAAATGGGTATTTACCGCCGGCTGAGTGGAGGTTGCGGCGGCACGTGAGGAAATAAGTTGATAAAAGAACACCAAATTTATAATACAATTTATCTATAACTAGTAATACATGAGTATTATAATACAATTTATCTATAACTAAGGTATAATGTACTTTCATGAATGTTTTGAGTATCAGTATTCCAAAAGTATTTATTGACAGTAAAAATATTAGAAATATTTAGATTTTAGTTTACAAAATTTGTTTCACAAGTGTTGAAGAAATTACGAAAATAATTTTTGAACATTCCAAAACCTTTCTTGAAGTATCTAATAATATTCGTAAGTTTTTAACTAGTAAACTTAGAATTTGTTAGTTCGTAATTGTAAAAAGCTAATATTAATTTATTAGGGGATTAAGATTGGTTTATTTATTTAAGTTTGTGAAAAAATGGAGATATAAGTTGTTTCATTATTTATTAAATATTTGTTACTCAAGTTTAATTTTTTAAACCAATAATAATATAAATATATCTTGAATTTTATTTATTTATTAAATTCCGAGTTGTTAGAGATATTTTTATTTAAAGATTGTAGTCTCAAAAGAAATTTTTGTAAGTTTTTTATTTTATAACATATTTTGTTGATCTCAAAAAGAAAGTTGAATACGAGAATTATGGAATGAATTTGTTTCTTATATTATATATGTAATGGTCCGAAGAATCTTAAATTGATATTCGAAATGGACCTAAGTTAATGTGTGTATGAATTAAATTAATAGGTGAAGTGTAATTGGGTATAGTATAATTGAATTTAGGGCTCAACTGATAGGTTCGGATGATAAAAGTGAAACTAGAATAAAGAGAAAATTACTTATATTTTAATTAACCCCTTGGTAAATAAAAATCTAGAGATTAGTTCTAGAAATGTGAGGTAACCGTGAGTATTAAAGGGAAAAAAAAGAAAGGAGAGAGAAGAAACATCATCATCTCTACCTTCTCCATTCTTTTTTTTCTCTTTCATTTTCCATCAACTCATATTTCTCCTATTTGAAACCACATAGCCATAGAAACAAATTTTTAAGGCAAGAATTGTTCTCCTCATGACTAAAGCTTTATTTTGAGTAGTGGATCTCCATATTTTGGAGGTAGTAATCGTCTAAGGTTTGATGGGCTTGGATGAGAAGAGAAATAGTGAAGGAGCTTTAAAAGGGTGAAAGTGTATCTCTCTTTTTTATCCTTCTTTAATTTTCTTATATGTGTGTTATTTGATAATTTCATTATAGTGAGGGAAGAAGGGGAACCTTCACTACAGTAAAACAGGTATATAGCGGCGTTTGTTGCGGCGTTTTTAAAGCAAACGTCATTAAATTTGTACATATCGCGGCGTTTATATCCAAAACGCCACTAAATGGTAACATTAACGGCGTTTTTCAATAAACGCTGCTAAAACTCGTACTTTAGTGGCATTTATTTGACAAACGCCGCTAAAGATAAGTACTTTAGTGGCGTTTGTAAACAAACGCCGCAATAGGGTACATATATCGTGGCGTTTTTAGACAAACGCCACTAAAACCTAGTACTTTAGTGACGTTTTTGACAAACGGCGCTAAATACTTGTACTTTAGTGGCGTTTTAAGCAAAAATGCTGCTAAATACACGTAAATTAGTGGTGTTTTTTATTTACAAACGCCGCAAGTTTATATTTTCTAAGTCCCTCCCCTTTAACCCTTTCTCATTTTCCCCATTCACCTATTTTTTCATCCCCCTTTACCAAAACCCTTATGCTGCCTCTTCCCCGATCTCACTTTCTCTTCGTTGAATTTGCTACTTCTTAGCCGATCTCACTTTATGCAACGCGAAACAAATGGTACTTTTAGTTAATTATAATTAATAATGCTAGTTGTTGAGGAGTGCAATGAAAAATGGAGGAGCAGATCGTAGACGAATGTTTCTGTGGCTTTGACTGATAATGATTTTCAATTATTTATCTCGTTTCTGTTCCTTATTTTTGTAACGCTAATATCTCTTTGTATTTCTTTCTTTATTTATTTTTTTTCAATTTTGCTTCAGACAAGAATCTTATTCAGATTCCATTTCTGGGCTTTTTTTCTTCTCCTTGAACTGAACAGAAAAAATATTTTTTATGCATCTTCGATTTAACTTCCTGAAATATCTTCCCAGTAGAAGGATGGTATATTGAGCTCTATATTGGGTGTTTTTGGCTTCGGAATTGGAACTTCTGTTGGGATCGTCATTGGGTATTACATGTTCATCTACTTCATTCCCACTGATGTTAAGGTTTGTTTCTCTCTCTGTTGAATTTTCCTTATGTTTTACTTCTTCTTTTTCTTTCTTTTGATTACTTTCGCAAGCATATTTATTAGTTTAAAGAATGAATATGTATTATAAAAATGATAACTTTACTCTAAGCTGATCAAATATTTCATTTTACTCGTATTTATGGTTAACTCAATTTGTCTTCTAAATACAGTTCGAGTTTTAATGTGCTAAGACTTGTATTTTGTAGTGTTCTTGCTTTGAAAGATGCATATCCATGGTTTTAAAGTGATCAAATTGATAACTTATGTTTTTCTAAGAAAGTTTTAAGTTTTAGGGTTGAAAAACTTTTCTAACATTCACCAGAGTTATTTATGTTCTTGTGCTCCTGTCCCACCCCTGTTTTTCTGGGATTTTGCTTATTGTAGTAGAGGCATTTACCAAACAATTTGGGTTGTTTTGATGTTTGTAAATGGCTGAACAAAACGAATTGTCTCCATTGTCTTAGTTCAGCCTTTGAACCATTGATAAGTTGGTCATGTTGTTTCTTTTCCTTTTTAACATTCCCTGTGTTCAGGATCCTAAAATCCATCATTTGGTTGAGGAAGACTTGAAAATTTTGCAGAGGATGCTTCCATAGATCCCCTTGTGGGTCAAGAATTCAGATTTTGACCGTGTATGTTCTATGCTATGTCATTTCTGTATGTTTGGTCCTAAGTTATGCACCAAGGTAATAATTGCATGTTTCTCTCAAGGTTGATTGGCTTTAACAAATTTATAGAGAACATGTGGCCTTATTTAACATAATCACAGCTGTTCATGACATGAAATGTGTTCACATTGTATCATTGATTGATCTAAATTCTTCTTTGCATTCCAAGAAGAATCCGAGTACCACCGCATTCATGATACAAGGCATTGCAATTCTAAAAAAATCTGTTTTTATTACTGTAAAACTTGATTGTACTAAAAAGAGTGCATGCTAGGTGTCTTGGTTATGCTTTAGACTAGCAAACGAGTTAGAAAAAATGGCCTTGAGGCATATAATTATGTTGTGAAATTATTCAAGAAAAGTATTGGAAAGTAGCCCATTTGAGAACATTTAATTTAACATACTTGCAAGTATGTGGTGGTTATGAGTTTTTAGCTTATTTGCACGCATTGTGTTTTATTCGTTTGTTTCAACCACCACCACCCCATGCATAATTCCAGCACAAATTCGATAGAGTTATACTCATTGTTGATTTTATCATATGTCAGGAATGAAAGTCTATGTCACTGATGAGAAGAAAATTATAATGGAACCATCATTAAAGTGAGAGGGGAATCCTAACATAGCTAATTATCACTAATTTGTTCTATCTATTGATGCATATTAGTTCCTGATTAGGCTTTTTGTGCATCATGCAGAAAATCATGTATTTCATGACTCTTGTTCTAAAAAACCTTGCACTGTCATCAGATGACAAAGAGGACCTGATATATTGTTTGAAGGTAGTGTATTGTCCTACAGAGCTATGGTTGTGTTATTATTTCTTAATGGCATCAACAGATTCTAAAGTTATAAATTTGGGGGGGTCAGATTTCATTATTGATAATATTTACTTATATGCTCCTAAGATTCTATCAAAAATGTATTTCAAATTGTGGTAAAAGATATTAAGGAACTTGATACTAAGATCATAAGTTAGATTTCGAGGTGAACCTTTGGTAAATGTCTATGTTACATGATAAAAACTCTTAATCTTGTCCCCACCTTTTTGATACTGAGATCAAAGAACTTTTGATATTTTTGTACCATAATTGTATTTTCTCTTCTATCTTGTCCCCACCTTTTTGTAAATCATGGGAGACATTGATGAAAGGATAATCATGAGGGTTTATAATGTTATTCATTTTCCTTATCAACTGGTAGAGTCTTGATTACGATAGCTTGAACATGATGGTATCGGGTGTTGATTGCTCTAAATTACTAAATTAAAATCAATGTTTATCTTCTTGTTCCTGAATTGGATGTCTGGACAAATACAATTGTTTTTTCCCAGTTTACATCTTGACATTTCTAAATTAACTTTTATCCTATTTGAGTTAAAGAGGGGAAACACTCTTGGTTTGTACATGTGATGCTTTTAAGCTTGTTTTAATAGCCAAATTACATAGGGATTAATTATATATTTCTTATGGTCTAACTCTAATCATCTAATATTCATTATCTTCAGTCACCAGTATGATTATTACAGAGACAGTGATTATAAGAGAAGAAGTCGTAGTAGGAGTTATGACCGGTTTGAACGTGATCGATATCATGAGAGAAATAGAGACTATCGGCGTAGAAGCATGAGCTGCAGTGCAAGTCCTGGCTATTCTAAAGGTCGAGCAATAAGGCGAGATGATGATGATGATCGGCAGTGGTAGTAGAACAATGAGGTTTATATTTGTACTTCGCTCACATTTTAGAAAGTAATTTCCTCTGTTTTCAAAATCTTTTTTGCTTCAGCTTTGTAACAATACCTTCTTTGTTTATGTGCTTCTCCTGCTCACCGCAACCCTAGTCCTCAGAAAAGTCTTTCCCCCACACAAGGCATCTCCCAGGGGTGAAAGTTCATAACGCAACTTTGATGGGCGGTCTCTAAGTTCTCGAAGTGTTTCACCATGAGGTCGTCTTGCTGATTCTCGTAGCCCATCTCCTCGGAACTCTGATGTTGATGTGAGTTTCACTTTCTAATGTATTATTTTTCCCTTCCCCTTTTTGTTCAATCTTTTTTAGTAAAATTACCTTTACAAGAAGTTGTTTTAATTGTTTACTATTTACTTCTTCGATTTGAATTTTGTAGTAATGATCTTACGGATGGATTACTGGAGAGGCTTTAAGTAGCAAATTTTTGGTTGCTAGTCTTGAGGATATTCATATATCATGTGTTTCCTAGTGTTGGTAGGACTTTTTTTTTTGTCTTTTAATCAATTGTCCTAAACCTTCTCTTACTTAAGCAATATTTTGGTGTCTAAACTTATGTAACGTCTAGCTTGATGTTTCAGTACCCACTGAAGATTTATTTATTTAACTTGGATGTGTAAACTTTGATTTATTTATGTTTTATGTATTATTACTTAATTAGAATCGTAATGAAATTTAAGATGGTTATTGGATTTTATTACAGGTTAAATTTGGGTAATACAAAATAGGAAGAAGATATATTAAAAATCAATTTCGATTAGTGGCATTTTAGGGGAAAACACCACTAACGGAGTGCATATTTGGCGACGTTTGTATAAAAAAATGCCGCTATAGATTTAAATTTTTGCGGCGTTTGTATTAAAAAACGCCGCTATAGATTTGAACTTTTGCGGCGTTTGTACCAAAAAATGCCGCTATAGATCAGACCTTTTGCGGCGTTTGTTCAAAAAATGACGCTATATATCTCGATCTTTTGCGGCGTTTGTTCTAAAAACGCCGCGATAGATATTGACCTATTGCGGCATTTTTTGTTCTCAAATGCCGCTAACTTTAGCGACGCTGGTATGGTCGGCGCTTCTTGCAGCATTTTTCCTATCGCCGCAAGTGCTTTTAGCGGCGCTTAAAAATGCCACTATAGGACTAAAAAAACGCCGCTAAAAATCTATTTTGTTGTAGTGCTTCTCAAGCTAAACAAAAAAGCTAAACAAAAAGAGAAAGCTTGAAGAAATGAGCAAGGAGTTTTCTTTTCAACGACTAAAGCTAAGGTAATGCATTTCTATTCTTAGAGTACCCATGTGAACCATAATATTTAGATTTGTGAGTTGAAAGCATGTTTTATGTAAATAGTGCCATGGATTTGGTTTTGGATATAAATGATTGTTTTTATGTTGTAAATGAAGACTATATACGTGTGGATGAATCTAGTGGCCATTAGTAGCGACATGTCTAAGGTGAATTCTAGATACTCGGTATAATTGGCTCTTTTTGAAGAATTATAATGGTTCTTAATAACCTTATTTTGATATACATAGGTTGAGTAGGACTATTATGATCATATTAAGGGTTATTTTACCAGAGAAAGTCTATGTTATATACCACTAATGGAATTAAGTGATGATTTAACTGGTGTAAGTCTATGTTAAATTTCAGTAATGTAAATCTATGTTATATCTGCTGGGATTAAGTGATGATTTAACTGGTGTAAATCTATGTTAAGTTTCACCGGTGTAAGTCTATGTTATAAATCACTGATAGAATTAAGTGATGAATTAATTGGTGTAAGTTTATGTTATATATCGTTGATGGAATTAGGTGATGATTTAACTAGTGCAAGTCTATGTTAAGTTTCACTGGTGTAAGTCTATGTTATATACCACTACTGAAATTAGGTGATGATTTAATTGATGTAAGTCTATGTTATATACCACTGCTGGAATTAACTGATTATTTAATTGATATAAGTCTATTTTATATAACACTGCTGTAATTAAGTGATGATTTAATTGGTGTAAGTCTATGTTATATTCCACTATTGGAATTGAGTGTTAAATTTGATTGGTGTAAGTTTGTTATTAGTTTAGTGTACTAAATACAAGAAAGGTGATGTATTGTATCAAATGCACACCTAAACACAAGAGTGGTGATATATTATACGAGATACACCCAACCACAAGAAAGGTGATATATTGTATGGGATACACACCCAATCACTAGAAAGATGATGTATTGTACGACATACACACCTAAATAACCGAATAGTGATGTATTGTACAAGATATACATCTAAATACAAGAGTGGTGATATATTGTATGGGATACATACCTAACCACAAGAAAGGTATTGTATTGTACGGGATACATACCTAAATACAAGAGTGGTGATCTATTGTGCGTGATACACATACGACCATAAGAAAGGTGATGTATTGTACGAGATACACACCTAAATAAAAGAGTGGTGATGTATTGTACGATATACACACCTAAATAAAAGAGTGGTGATGTATTGTATATGATACACACCCAACCACAAGAAAGGTGATGTATTGTACGAGATACGTACCTTATTAATAGAATGTTGCTTAATAACCATGAGTGGAGATATATAGTATGTGAATATCCTTAAAATCATAGGTATGCTTTGATACAAGATACATGATATTGCTGAATAAGAAGGTCAATAAGTGACTGTAAGAAAGTTTGATAAGGCTAATGAGCGTTTGAGAATATGTTATTCTAGGAGAATCATCGTTGATAGTAGATCCAAGGAGCACCATCGTTGAGGAATTCCATCATCTCGATTACCGAAGTACAATTCTGAATTCTATTAGGGGCATGTGCATTCCATGTGTACTTGTGTTTATATATATATATATATGTATTAAGTTGGAAGTCGGGTCTTATTTTGAACTATTACATATCTTATGGATCAGGAAAGAGTCGATTTTTTATATTTTGTATATAAACTATCTCAACTATCAGACATTTTGTATTTAAGTATGAAAGATGTTTTTTTTTTAATTTTAAATTTTTGAAATTTTTATATGATGGATTTTTGGGTCACTCTTATTCCCAAATGTGACACTTTAAGCCTAGTGTTAACATATTAGGTTTAATGCGTTACAATATAATTACTTTTAATCTATTACTTATGTCGTGTAGTTAAATTTAAAAAGAGAAAGAATTTAGGACTTTAAAAATTTACACTATTAACATTTCAACATATTAATATTTAGTTATTATATTTATTTTATATCTACGTACTTAGCTTATCTCTTCTATATCTTTCCTCCTCTCACATAAAGATTTTGCTTCTTTAACTTTTGACTAATTTATTTGGATACTTTTGTATTAAACAATATTAGAAAGTTATGAATCCAACACACCCACTAATAACAATATAATTATAATAGTATATATTTATCTCACTATTTTCTATCCACTTCTTCTAAATTCTCTTTTTTAACTCGTTCACTCAATAGAAATGATATATTTCACATTTATTTATAAATTTTAATGACTGTTAGATTATTGACATGTGTCATCATCTTAACTATATTAATCTTATATATATCTAGATGTTTTATAGATAATTCTATATACAATATTAAATATTATAAATATTTATATTATTTTATGAATATTTTAATATACTTACTATTTTTATATTATTTTAAAGTATTCTCAATATATATATATACACTAATTATTATTATAGATTTATCTAGAAATTGCATTAGCCTTCAAAACTTCTCTTAACGCAAACTTTTTTTACATATATGATTTGTAAATCATTTCGAGTGTTCTCTAAACTTTTCAAATTTCGTTGTACTTAGACTCTTCATGAATATACATGCAACTTGTTCATATAATTTTGTTGACACCATCTTGATCTTCCCTTCAAGGACTTTCTCACGAATATAGTGATAATGCACTTCTATTTGTTGTCATTGCATGAAAAATTGAATTCTCTACTAGATGCATGGATGATAAATTATCGCATAGAAGCCTTACCTAATAATATGATAGATGAAGAAGATTTTTCTTTAGTTGGTTTAACAAAGCATTTTCTTGTGTTGTTGATACTGCCAACTGATATTCCTCTTAGATGTTGGATAATTATACTTGTCGCGACCGTCTTTCGGTTGGGCCCCGGAATTGGGCTTCGACGTGAATGAATTGGGTTAGAGTCGCCACCGACCACTTTAAAATAAATTTAGGTGGGTCGGACACCATCTTACCTGATCTGCGTTGTACCAGAAACGTGTCGGGTTCGGGAGTCGGTTACGGTCAAGGAAGGATTAGCACCCATGAACCGCCCTTTCGGTACCAATTAATTTTCCGGTTGTCTTTAATTGCGAAAATTGAAATTGAAATTTAAAAACCCAATTCAAATTATTTACCTTCGGTTGAAATTACTACCGAAGAAAAAATAAACGGTAGATGACAAAATAAAATATTGAATGCTAAACAAAAAGGAAAAAAAGAATAATAAATAATAAAATAAATAATAATAAATAATGTATTATCATTTCTTAATTCATATTTATTATGACAAATGAACATGAGAAACACCAACATGTGAAATAAACACAACAAATATAGAACTCGTCCATTTCAAAACAGTTAGCGTTGGTATTTTATAAAGCAGAAAAAAACAACAATTGTAAAATTTCGCAAACAAACACGTTCCAAAACAACAAAAACAATTAAAAAAAACCTTTCGAACTGCAAATGGAAATTAAAGTCCGTGTATTCAGCTCAGCTACAAATCTTTAGCGCTTCTTATTGCTTGCTTTTGCACCACTGGTGTAACCCCAGACTTGGATTTAAATGTCTTGGGATCGTTTGAAGCAGCAGCACACTGGGTACTTTGTGTTTCAGACTCTGGAATGTGGTCCCACGTTTTTCTCTGTGTCCTTTCCTCTTGATGCTTGAGTCTATTTATAGTCTAAAGAAACATATTTTTAGCTCAGATTTAGAGTCCTATATGGACTCAAATGCTTCGGTTTTAGTGTTTCAATAGGACTCAAATATGTTGGTTTTAGTTTTTCAATAAGACTCAAATATGTTGACTTATTTTTTGAATCTCACTAAATCAGGGTTGTTGAGTGTAGGCCTACAAAAATAATAAAAAAATATTAGTAATAATAAATAAATAAATATAATATAATAAAATGTTTTTGTAGACCCGGACAAAAACGGGTGTCTACAGCTGCCCCTCTTTGCACATTTTTGTGTTAACAAGAATAGGGCAAAGATGAAAAAGACAACCAGTTTTTGTCCGGTTCTCTTTGATTTGAGACTTGATAGTGTTTGTTGTGACACTAAGTCGATCCATTGGGCACGATATCCTTCTTCTTGAAGTTGAAATCGCGGGTGAATTGAAAAGTGACTCTTTGTTGCCAATCTTGGTTGACCTTGGTCTTCTTCTCGATTTAAAGACCTGGGTGTAAAAATTTGACCAAAAAGTAGTTCCTTGCTAATGCAACACGGTTAATATGCCATGGAGCTGAATGGAATCGAACTCGAAGGTCTTTGTTGACAGATAACCCTTCTAGCCTTGAGTTATGCTGTAAATGATGTGCCTTGGAGCTGAGCGTAGTCAAACTCGAAGGTCTTTGTTAGCAGATAACCCTTATCGACTTGAGCTATATTGCAAATGAACACTATATCCTTCATCACGAAGTTGAAATCGTGGATGGACCCTTCGTCGTGAAGTTGAGCCTGGAATTGGATATCCTTCGTCGTAAAGTTGAAATCCAATATAAAGGTGAATGTTGCTGGTGAGCATGATTCCCTTCGTCGTGAAGTTAAACCTTGGAGTTGGATATCATTCGTCGTGAAGTTGAAATCCAATGTAAGTTGTGATGTTTCGAGGCCAATATCATTCGCTGTGAAGTTGAAATTGACTTTGAAACTGGAAAGTTTATTGACAGATACTACTTCTTTGAGTTGGATATCCTTCGTCGTGAAGTTGAAATCCAATCTAGAGATTGATTCTGCTTGTGTGCACGATTCCCTTCGTCGTGAAGTTGAAACCGTGGGTGGCCCTTTTGTCGTGAAGTTGAGCCTAGAATTGGATATCCTTCATCGTGAAGTTGAAATCCAAGTAAGTTGTATTGCTCTGAGTCCAATATCCTCCGTCGTGAAGTTGAAATTGGCTATGGAACTGGGAAATTGTTTGTTGACAATCAGTCGCCCCTTCGTCGTGAAGTTGAGCTTGTGTTGTCTTGAGTCCAATATCCTTCGTTATGAAGTTGAAATTGACTCTGAATGAAATTGAAAAGTTGTTTGTTGACAATCAGCCGCCCCTTCTTCGTGAAGTTGAGCTTGTGTTGTCTTGGGTCCAATATCATTCGCTGTGAAATTGAAATTGGCTCTGAAATTGGAAAGCCCCCTCGTCGTGAAGTTGAGCCCCGAATGGCACGATATCCTCCGTCGTGGAGTTGAAATCGTGGATGTGTGGGTACGATATCCTCCGTCGTGGAGTTGAAATCGTTGATGGCCCCTTCGTTGTGAAGTTGAGCCTTGACTTGAATATCCTTCGCCGTGAAGTTGAAATCCAAGTATTGTATGTTGCGGGTGGACACGATTCCCTTCGTCGTGAAGTTGAAACCGTATATGACCCCTTTATTGTGAAGTTTAGATTCGAGCTAGATATCCTTCGTCGTGAAGTTGAAATCTACTCTCGAACAAATTGTGTTGTTTCGAGTCCAATTTCTTTCGCTGCGAAGTTGAAATTGACTCTACAAGCTATAAAAAATTATGTGTGCTAAAAATGATAAATGTGATGCTCCTAAGTATATCTAAGATGCATGCAACATGAATGAGTTATCTTGGATTGGAGTCTCGTGTTTTGTCTGCCAATATGATCCATGGAATCGATCGTGCCCCATTTGCTTCTCGAGCTTTGGCTTTACTGACCTTTCATATTTGAGACTATCCTGTTTGAAAATGTTTTTCTCCTTTTTCTTATTTTAAGAGGGAAAAGGATAAAAATTATGTAAAATATTGTTCGCAATTGAATCAAATTGTAAACATGAGTTCAAAGTATATCAAAGGAATCAATAACTCTTTTTAATGCTTTCAAAGTTATAGCTCTTTGAAAAATGTTCAAATTGACTTCAGGTTGACTTCCTTTCTAAAGTTTCGGTAACCCAAAATGTCATTTTTTGAAATATCGCAACATGCTTTTTCTTTGGTTTGACATTTTAATTGGGTGCGGACAAAATGACACAACTAGTATGATCAATTACTAGACCTTTTATTTCAGTCCTCTGAAATCTTCCATTTGTTCAAGTTTTGTAAGCTTCTCTAACAAAGATAGTGCAAAAATATCGGTCTAAAAATGAAATTCTTGAGTGCTCGTGTGTATTTGACTATAACAGGTGTTCCTTAACTCCCTTAGTCCATCATTACCAAAAATTTCTTGTTTAGATAAATTTGATTTAATTTGCCATTATCTGGCTAGCCAAATCCATAAAGCCAGGGTGTTTAACCAATTGCTTTAGAGGGAAAGCTTAATATTATAATCACTTTTATCAGGTTAACTGAAGGGTTCATCTCATCACAAA